GACTTAATCTTTAGACTTGATGTTTCTATAATCTGCATCACATTGATTATGTTTTAAAAATTTGCTTTCAAAGAAACGCAACCTAGACAATTACTTCGCTCTTCAAATGTATGGAATTTCACTTTAACATTGTTTTGCAGTACCACATATTTTAAAAGGTAACCACAATGCTATGGTAAATCGTGTTCAATAATTCATCATAAAAAAAGCATACATATAACTATTTTAATGCGAATTATAGCCAAGCGCTTTAAAGTCTTATGTGAAGTCTTAGATACCCGCGGTCTATTACGAGACTCTTACCAAGTTCGATCATTTTGTGACTGGATATATGAAGCATAATTTAGTAAAACGAATTGACTTATATGTTGAAGGCAAGTCAGGTGTGTGAGAAGAAACTACGTACATTAGTGAGGCCTCGTTTTCAATGCCTCAGTGCACGCACGGCATGCAGCGACTGCTCCGATACTCGAGCAGTACTCATGCCACACCACGTTCAGCCCGCGATCATGCTCGGGACTCCTGTCGGATATACCTTCGGTGTTCTCGAACTCAGATACTCCGATTTTCAGCGCATTGGCTGTCTCAGTCCAGTGCCCACGTCAATAGCGTTTTTGACTCCTAAAAGAGAAGAAAAGAAAAGAAAAGAAAAGAAAAGAAAAAAAAGAAAAGAAAGGGAAGAGGAGGTGGGTTCATGACTCATCAATGCTCCACTTGAAGACGTGAGCGTAGTAACCAAGGTCTTTGACCACCAATAAATCTAAGGCTCATGATGTTCCAGCCATGCCATACTAAGGATAAGGTCATAACTTGATTCCAAGTCTAAGACCGAGCAGTGTTCCACGCTATCAAAGTCATGAAACCTGACCGCACTGGCGTCGCCTAAACGGAAGTCATCCGTGTGCATCCACTTTCTTTTGAAGAAGCAGTGAACGTGGCACTGAGTGCCGAAATCAACCTTTGGTCGGCACGACTTGGTTGGAATGCACACCCTCAGAGCTCGTCGAGCGGGCCTGAGCTAATGGGTCTCAGCTATGCTGAGAAGGGGGAGAGAGCAATCCGAACTGCTGGGCAGCGTTTAAACACCTGACGGCGTTTTGTTTGTGAAGACACCTGTCACCCTCGGACGGGTTGGCCCTTGCGCAAGGCACGTAAAAGTTCGTCGAACCGACGTCCTAATTCTCACTAATCTGGTTTGACGCGGTAAAACGAGGATACCCAGTAGAAGTCCTACTACGGGACAACTGAGTTCTGTTGAGTTTCAAAGAGGTAGAGGGTGCAGGGCCCAGCTTTGAAGATCTTCGTGCTCTTGAACATGGAACGTGTGTGCAAGCCGGGCTTGCTGGTCGCTAAAGCAACAGTGAAAGGCTTTGAGAGGCCATGGAAAACCCTGATCGATTCTGGTGCGTTGAACAATTATACTCGACGCTCCACGATGAAAGGAAGTCAGCTGTCTGCTGAGGCGCGGAGAGCTATGAAATGATTGGAGGTCGAATACTTTGTGCGCTAGGCACACGTCTCCTAGTGGAGCTTTGGTGAGTACGGATCGAAAACGCTATTGGCGCGGGCACTGGACTGGGATGATCAATGTTCTGGGTATCGGAGTATCCAAGTTGTCAAAAACCAAAGGTGTTTTGGACAAGCGTCCCGAGCGTGGTTGGTCGGCTGAACGTGAGGTGGCGCGTAGCCCACTGAGCACTGCTCACGTTTTGAAGCAGTTACTGCATGCCAAGTGCGTCAAGGTCGGACGAGGTCCGAGGCATTCTGGGCAAGAAATTTCTGATGCGCTGGGAGCGGCACGTAATCCACTCGACGAAGACTGCGGAAATAGAAGCTCTGCCTCGGATGTTGTTGATAACATCACGGCTTCGATGGAACAGGGAGTGGGGGAATTGGACGACGCCGAGTGCGTGTTCTCACTAATGAAGAACTTCTATAGAGTGGAGACGGCGAAGCCGAATAATATCTGCAAGACGCAGGGCGTCGATATTAACCCAGGGTATGTCTATCGTAGACGATAGCGCACAGCTATATACCCCTGTCAACGGTATGACGGGGAGGAAGACGGCGACATCATCTTCGAGACCATTACCGCGGTGGATGCTTCTCTTGAGCAAAACAGGACGTCCTTCAAAGAGTTGGGCGGTGCCTTATCGACTGGTGAATTAGCTGAAGTGTGCGCCATGAGATTGGCCTGGTTCCGGGAGCCAAATATAGCGGAACACATTATGGCCTCTGCCCAGGGAGCAATGTGAAATCATTGACGCTTTTTTCGAGCAACGAACGGGGTAGGAATGGTGCGTGAGAGCTAGTCTCCCCGTTATACACCCTTGTTTTGTGTCCGAAAGCCGAACGACTAGGTACGTATCGTCCACGCTTGTAGTATGCTGAACGCTGCCACCATCCCGGTACAGACGCCAAATTTTAGATAGTATGTTCTCCAGAACAATATGGTAGGCTATTCAAAGTACAGCGCTCTCGACTTGGTCGGTAGTTATTACCAATTGCTCAGACTGGCAAGGGATATTCCGCTGACAGCGGTGAGTACTCCAAGCGGGATGCTCTGGGAGTTCCTGTTGATCTCCCAATGGCTGTCAAATGCACCGGCAACATTTCATCGACTTGTGACACAGTTGTTCAGGCCCCAGCGGGTGTATGCGCAGACATACTTTGATGACATCTTCGCCCACAGTCATGCGGGGCACGAAAGGACCGATGCGGGAAGGCACATCGTCCATTTTTTGAGAGCGGTCTCGAGTGCATGCGCACGACTAAGCCGAATGCTAATGTCGATAAGGGGATCCCCGGCGCGGAATAAATCCCTCTTTCTAGTGTGCTTCATTGAGGACTGTGGTCTTCGAGATCCCGCTAAGGTCAAGACCATTGTGAACTGGCCGATTTCAACGAACCAAAAGGACTTGAGCAAGTGGTTTGGCCTTGCTAACTACTATAACAAGTATAGCGCAAATTTGCAGAAATGGCACGGTCATTGTCGAACCTCCATAAGAAATGCTGTTGGAATCTCGAGCATCGAGAGGCTGGCCAAAGACTGCCGCCTTCATGCACCAATACTGGTGTCGCCAGACCCCGATCGTTCATTTAGTGTCGTCTGTGACGCTTCGGACTTTTCCATCGGCTGTGCACTGCTGCAAACAGACACCGAGGGGCGAAATCGGGATATCGCGTTTGAATCTCGCCGGCTCCAGGCTGCGGGGAAGAACTACCCAGTCTACAATTTGCTTGCGATGATGTATGCACCTGTCAAGTTCAGGGTGAACCTGCTTGGCTAAAGCCGTTTGCGATCTATACCGATCATGCGGCACTATGCACTGCGTCTCAGTTGCCTCACCTACAGGATGACCAGGTGGCTCTTATTCTTTGAAAAACATAACGTCGACGTGAAGTATAAGCCAGGAAAGCAGGCCGGACTATGAGCTTATTTATGTCACGACGGTGGCGTCGTCAGTGACAGATTTGATCCCCGCCACATAGGAGGCTTTGCCGCAACTAAAACCGAAAAAATAGTTTAAAATTTCAAAGGAATGCTTTTTTTCCTTGCGTTAAGGATGTAATTACTATCCGAGTAAGTGTATTACGATCCGCTTTGCTCGTACTGATTTTAAGTGTAGAACGAAGGTCACCGATATTTACCAAGCTCTCTCTAAGCGAAAGACCTACGGCAGCCCCGCTTCATGTAGAGTTTTGGCTACATTTTCCGTGAGTGAAGAAAAAATTGACATCAGCGGTGCCACCTGCCAGTAAGTGCATTGAACACGTAATTACACGTATGCACGACGCTGTGTTGGCTCATGCTGACGATGTATACGAAAAGACCAGCTGATTTGATTGTGTAACATGTACCGCTCAAACACTGCGAGTAGGTACTAAATCGCGTGAAACAAAACGTGTTTAAGCTTACATTCACTTCATCGTCGCGTTAACTTTAGCCAGTCAGATTGTGAACCCCCCGTGAAGGTGTAAAGTTTGCAAAGGCGCTTCGGACTTATATTTGGGTATCATTTTGGTACACTATCTTGAGCAGGATTAGAAGGTGCAATAGATGCCGCTCTAAAATAATTTTACGTATATAACGCGATTTGTCATATGGATTGTGGTTACCTTTTAAAATATACTGTGAAACAATTCACCTTAACATTTTAGGAGCGACAAGAATCGACAATATGGTCATGATCTGGACAAGTTTCATTTAATGCAATTTTTAACAATAGAATCAGCAGCAATCCTCAAAAATATTATAGAAACATCCGATAACATGTAAGTAGATTTAGCCACTACCTCCGAAAGCCACGAGTAGTATAAACAAAATAGCTAGGATATATTCAAAAATTACACCAGCAGTTTTTTTCTAACCGTACTTTACCACGGAGAACCTTCTTTCGGGTTTCAACGACGCAACCTCGTGACGACCTTATAGCGAGAGGCACGAGTTTTGAAACTAAACTAATTTTAGAACCGCTTAATTAATAGCTGCTATTTTGACGACGCAACTCTCAGCTATCTTCCGACGCTGAAACTATATTATTTAAAGTAATTGAACAGATGTTTACGTTAAGTATTCAGCTTGGCATCTAAACCAATGATGACCCATCATTGGTTTAGAAATTGCGTTACACCACCAAGTTCGCTTAAGTACGCCTGAAACTCTCCCTCTTACCTTCCACATTCTAGAATCTACCGGCTCGAGTTAAGATGGTGAAGCTAATTTGTAGGTGCGGAAGATAATGCGTTTTCTGTGGAAATTGATGCGGATCAGCTGATGGCAAACCTCAAGAAGGAAATCAAGGCGGAGAAGCCGAACGATATGAAGGGATCGGCGCAGACAGATTAGAGCTTTTCCTAGCCAAGACAGAGGGCGGCGCTTGGTTGTCAAGC